GAGCTTGTTCGTGCCAGAGGCACGAGTCAAGGGGGAAACTTAGAAAGACACAGGGGACAGTGCGGGCAGTGAGCTTGTTTGTACAGTGCGGTGCAGCACGGTGCAGGGTGGTGCAGAGCGGTGTAGAGGCAGCGCGGGCCGGCTGGAATACGACAGGGTCGGCTAGGCGACAGGGCCGGCTGGGCGACACGGCTGGCTGGGCGACACGGCCGGCTGGGCGACGGGGCCGGCTTGACGACGGGGCCGGCTGGGCAACGGGGTCGGCTGGGCGACGGGATTGACAGGGCGAGTGGGCCGGCTAGGCGACAAGGGGCCGGCTAGGCGACGGGGTCGACGCGACGATGGGGCTGGGTAGGTGACGGGGTCGGCAACTCGGCGGGGTCGGCTCGGCGACGGGGCCTGCTAGGGGACGGGGCCGACGAGGGGACGGGTGCGGCTTGGCGACTGGGCCGGCTACGCGACGGGGTCGGCGACTCGGCGGAGTCGACCACGTGACGGGGTCGACTACGCGACGGGGTCAGCGAGGCGACGGGGCCGGCTAGGCGACGGGGCCAGATAGGCGACGGGGCCGGCTAGGCGACGGGGCCGGCTGAGGTGACGAGGCCGGCTACGCTTTGGGGCCGACTAGGCGACGGGGCCGACTAGACAACGGGGCCGGTAGGGCGACGGGGCCGGCTAGGCGACGGTGCCGGATAGGCGACGGGGCCGGCTAGGCGACGGGGCCGGCTGAGGCGACGGGGCCAGCTAGGCGGCGGGGCTGGCTTAGGCGACGGGGCTGGCTACGGGATGGGGCCGAGTCCGGGACAGGGCCGGCTATGCGACGGGGACGGCTAAGGGGAACGGGCCGGTGCGGGCGGGTGGGCGGCAGGGCGGCTAGGACCTATGGCAGAAGCGCTAGTGGGCGGGGGGGACCTAACCTACTTATGATACCATATCAGAATGAGAGAATGACTCGAAGGGGTGAGTACAAGGGATTATAGCTTAGTGGGTCATACTCTCTAAGGCACAACCCTATGTAGTCTACAAGAATACACTCAAGTATGTTTGACACCAGGGTGTGTGGGAGGTTTGTCTCTAGGCGCGAGGGACTTCGCCGAATTTTCTTACTTGCAGGGTGGGTGGGAGGGATGTCTGTATTTGTGGGGGACCTAGCCGGAATTTCAGAGTTACTGTATCAGTGTAGTTTCGACGACATCGTGAAGACTCAGGGTGCCGGGTCCCGCAACTCTGTTTTCGTTAGGGTTAAAATTTCGCTACACTATTTGGATCAGCCTAAAAATATTTGTGAGCCTGATTTTTAAAACCAAGCCGAAAAAGACCCGGAAAAATCAGGGCAATCATGGCATTTCACCCTGCTAATTTTGGGCTTGGCGATAGGGCAGGCGTTAGGGACTAGGGTGTCATAAAGTCTCCAGTCCTAACCACTGGGACAAAAAGGGATGACATGTCATCAGGAGGGTTAGGCTCCATATATACACCTTCCCCGAGGAAAGCCTCCCCAGTACCAGGGCTCAAAATTGGTTTTAGGCCACTCTTAGGAATCAGAGTGCAAAAAAAAAATTACCCTGCCGGTCAGAGTACAATTTTTCTCAAGTCTGATTCAGCAGGGTAGAACATTCGGCACTCTGGGTGCTCAGGGTAAAAAAAGCAGAACCCAGTTTCACGTTATGAAATGCATTATATTCCTAGCTACACTGCATGTCAATAATTAACATATGGAAATAATTAGCATGAACTAGGAACGTAGGCAGGAAAATCACAACCACACTACCTACAGCACACTAGGATCCTCTAGTGGAACTGGGTCAGGGTCAGGGTCAGTCCTTATGGTGCCTGCATCTGCAGAAGCCGCAGCTGGAGTTGGGTTGGCAGAACACAAGTTGAGCAGAGGCCGCCGCCGCTTCTCACCTCGGAAAACAGCTACCACATCAAACCAGTCAATCTGGTAGCAGAGGAGCGAGCACCGCATCAAGTCGCCCAGGCTGTCATCGCCAAGGCACCCACGACTCCATGACTTGATCAGATTTTGCTTCGAGAAACCACGTTCGCACTCCACTGTGCTGAGAGGGAGCACCGCTAGTGCCTGCCACAGCTTGAGGATGTTGGGGTAGCTCCGCTGCCACTCATTGTTGTCCAGAGTCAAGGTGAGACCCTGTTGAAACTCGTCATCTTTATACTGCGAAACCATGGTAGCAGTAAACACCCACAGCTCCGTGACGGCCTTGTTGTAGTCGAAGCCTTTAGGATGGTGGGGTTGGGATTCAAAGGATAGGAAACAGTAAGCCTTTGAGGGGAGATGTGCAACGAATGTTGCTGCAAATGGATTGCGAGGACTGCAGCCTAAGAACGGACACGCAAGCATCGATGACAGGCAGCATCATCGAGAACAAATCTGTCTCACCTGGGAGCTTTCCATCGAAGAGGTTGTGGGACTGCTTCAGCCACTGCTTGAATCTTGCTAGGCACAACTCGTCGTCTCGTGGGTAGGTCTTGGCTTTGAAGAGCTTGCATCCTTCCATGTTAGCCAGGTCCTTCAGGCGGGCACGGACGTTGGTGACGACATCGATTGCATGCTACCGGCAGACTTGGGCGCAGGAGTCTAGGTCGCTCTTGGTCTTGTGCCCCTCCACCATCCGCTCATGCAGCACATACTCGAACGCCTGAGCATTCCCCTCCGAGTCGACGCCTTGAACGCGCACGCGGCACTGGTCGGGCCTCCCGTGATGCTCCAGGAATTTCCCAAGCCTCTCGCTGCCGTTCCCGAAGAAGAGACCACCGCCGCACTTGATGTAGCGGTCGGTGATGCGGTTGCACGTGTTGTCCACCACTGAGGCCACGATTGTGAGATCCACCTGCAACGAAAACACAGAGATAATTTCAAAGCAAACAGGGCACCATGAACGCCATGCAAAATAAACGTGCAAAGTATGACTGAGTGTCTAGATGCAAGCACATGGTACTGACGACATTCAACGATGAGAGGAGTGTCATACCTAGCGCTGCTGGAAGCGGGTGTTAAGGTGATTCAGCTCCTCCAGTATGTCGGCGAGGTAGTGCAGCATGAACTGCACCTTGAACGACGTCACAATCTTGAAAAGACCGCTGGGGTGATCACGCAGCAAGACGATGGCCGCCGGCAGCACTTCGACGAAGCGGATCACCGCCTCTCCGCGCGACAACCAACGTACGGCGTGGATCCCTTGCATCTCTAGATTGGTGTTGCAAAACACCAGCTGGAAGTGTATGAAGCTGAGGTGCTGATTGTTGGAGCGACCGACGAGCTCGGCGAAAGCACGGATGAGCATGTCGATGATCTGTAGCTCGGCCACAGCAGCGGCAGCATCCTTCGGCGCAAGTGCCTCTCTGGCGGGAGGAGTGGATTAAACACAAAAAAACAATGAGTCTGACAAGCAGAGGAAAAGCATACGGCCAACGAGTACAACACTAGAACAGATGCAATGATTTGGAACGTTCTACTGAAAACATGAGGGTAGCGAGTAAAACACCCCACCTATGGGCGATGCAGTGAACAGCCATCAGGTGCTCAATCCACCTCTTTAGGCGGGTTACCACTCCCTGTTGCACACCGGTCATTACCGATGCTCCATCGGTAGCCATCCCGACGATCTTCTGGAGGTCGAGATCGATGTACTGCAGGTACTGTAGAAGAACCGCCGTCAGAGACGCCGCATCGGTCCGCTCGACAGTTAGCAGAGTGACAAACTCTGTGACTACCGAGTTGCCACGAAAGAACGTAGCATACAGAATTAGATGCTTCCCGTGCACGTGGTCCGTGCTTTCATCGATGGCGATGCCGACAAACGGGGAGCTCAGGATGTGGTGGAGCTGCTCGTCCTTCAGGTACTCGGAAATCGCCTTGGTCCCTTGCTTGAAGCCATAACTGGTAGGGGGAGATGGCAATGGATAGGCTACTGGTAAGAAAGTTGGAGAGCAAGTGGACACATACAAGGAAATTACGGCAACGTTCGATGTCTGTGGCGACATGCAATGCATTAACGGGAGAAGAGGGATTCGGATATCAAAACTCACTCCATGTAGTAGGTCCCATACGCCCGACCCTGTGGGAGATCTGGTAAGCCCTCGGACACGAGGAAGTAGCAAAGCGCCACGTACATCGTGATGGGCGCGTCGGCCTTACAGACAAAAAGGGCGATATGGAAGCACCGGATGAGATGTTTCGTCGATGCATCTGTCACCGCCCATCGGTCCAGCGTCTTCTGCTGATCCTTCTCTTTCTCCCGTTCTTGCTGCGCCTTGACAGCCGCCTTGTGAGCATGTGTCCCAATGTGGATTCGGATGCTGCCCACCTGGAGATCGTGCGCACCCTCTCCTTTCCTGCCATATGAAGTGTTGGAGAAAGCATCACCGTACTGGAGACACAGGGCACATTTGAGGGCAGGTCGGCCGTTCTTCATACGAGTAAGTCAGAGCCACGGGAAGCGTCGTGACCAGTCGTCCACGAAGCGATGATTCACGACCTCATACTCCGCGTCGACAGGAGAAGCGGGATTCTGGGGTGGAGTAGGAGCAACAGGCGGAGGAGTAGGCGGTGCAGCCGGCTTCTTCGGCGGTGGCGCCCAAGGAAGCCGACGCTGAGTCCATGGTCCGCAGTCCTTCCTCTTGGCGGGAGCGGTGGCGACAGACTCAGCAACTTCTGGTGCCTCGCCAGAAGTGCCTTCGCTGTGCAACAGGTTGAGGTCGATCGCCTCAGCAGCATGAGAAGAGCAAGGTGGGGACGTAGGCTAAAAAAGAAACTGTTGCGGAGGGGGTGCACGCTTGTCGAGCGAGGGATTGCGAGGCGGGGAAGGCGCAACTCTACGCGGCGGGAGGAGGGGGAAAACCCCAAGAACGCTGAGTCCATTCAGTGGGGGAGGGTCAGGAGGATCGGCATCATCGAGCGCCATGGCTGAAGGACGATCCAGCTACTCGAAACTCTACTGGGTGAGGGAATGCTCGTTGCAAGTCAAAGGGGATTGTTTCTGGAAGAAACGTATGGAGAAGAAGGGCGTTTTGCGAGACACAAAAGGTGTGCAGTCAAGAGCCTCATTTGGGACCGCTCAGCTCACAGGCAAAAACCTGTGAAGTTGCTGCATGCATCAGCAACCACTATCGGCGCGCGAACTTGTCACCCAGCGAGGAAACAATGTTGCCACTCTAACCAATCGTAAGGCGGCGCAAAGCCAACGAGGTGGTAAAGTGGTAGAATGCG